TGCATTGGAGGCCTTTCTAGTTGCATTCTCATGAGTTTTAAAGAAAACTGGCAGAGTGCCTTTGTCCCGCCGGACGCATCTTGCATTCAATACGCCTCAACCATGGGGGCTTTGTGGGCTTAGCGGACTGTACTGTGTCTTTCGATGCTTTCAATTGATCCTTTGCAGGTTTTTACAAGTCCCTGTACAACAGCAAGGGCTCCGCAACACCTAGCTTACCACTTACTCAAGCAAAGTCGATTGTTCTCCAGCCTCTTATTGTTGCTTCCATCGCCGTATTTGTATGTGGGCAAACTCCCACCCGCGGGATCCGCGGTCCGGAGGATAAGGGGATATCATGAGAGTATGTCTTCATGGATTCGAAATATTTTGTCACTAGGAGGCAGGATTCATCATAATTTGTCTCCATACACCATTCCTGGTTAGCTTGTGGATCTTCGTTACTTCTTTCGTCAATCTCATTCCTATTCTCAACACACAAGGATGCTCTTATATTCTCCTTAATGGTATTTATCTCTGCAGTTGAGAGAAAGTTCCTTACATTGATGGAGCGCTGCTCATCGCACACTCTGCTCGGATACCAGTATGTCTGGAAGCAGCTTTAACCATTCTTCGTGAAATTGCGTCCTATATCCCCCATGTCCGCTTCAAGTCTGATAGCCAAAAACTACGCATGCGAAATAGAGGTATTTAACTCCTTAGTCCATTTCATGGGCTGGCATTTGTTCTGAGGCATATGACGAGTCGCTATGATTCACCCTAACACACACAGTAACATTTCGACAGCGCCATGGAGGATGGACGTGAAGTTGATGTACTAGAAACTATTTCTAAGGAGTCTCCATAACCGTAACAGTAACTCTCCACCAACTAACAAACTCTGAACTACATGATTTGATCTGGGATTTGGAACTGCCTAAGAATAAAGCTGAACTACTAGCATGCATACTGAACTACCAGCAACTTCAATTTAGCATTCAGCAAAATTAGAATCTTCTGGGAGGTACGCTTAGAGTCTACATTTGGCGATCGTCAAAAGGAACTATCAACATTGTTCAGCAGTAAAGACGAGTTAGTATTTTCCTATGATGTACCAGGTTTGATGCAAGAACTGAACATTCCATACGAAGTAGAACATCGGAGTCAGTTTTTAGACGCCTCGAAAACACGTCTCAAGGCTGTGCAATTGCAGAACGGCAAGGACATATCAGTATCAATCCCCGTTGATTATGCGCCCCTAGGTAATGAAAATTATCCAATGTTGCAACGCATTATAGATCTTATCAAATACAATGGACGTAAGATGTTAAAAAGGGGTGACCAACCGTAATAATGCCAGGGGATAGAATAGCCCCGTCCTTTACCGAGGGAGGACTTGCGGAACCCACCGCTTAAAGTTAATTTCTTTTAATAATTTTGATAAATTAATAAATTGATAAAACTAATAATATACATGTGATTTCATTTAAACGAAAACATTATTCAATTTCAAACTCTGAATAAGAAAAAATATCAACTTTCTCGCCACAATATTTGTATCTTCTTCATCTTCATCTTCGTCTTCGTCTTCGTCTTCGTCTTCGTCTTCGTCTTCGTCTTCGTCTTCGTCTTCGTCTTCGTCTTCGTCTTCGTCTTCTTCTTCTTCTTCTTCTTCTTCTTCTTCTTTCTTCTACTTCTTCTCTTTCTTCTACTTCTTCTCTTTTTTCTCCTTCTCCTTCTTCTCTCCATCCCCTTCTCTCCTTTTCTTCTCCTTCTCTCCTTTTCTTCTCCTTCTCTCCATCTCTTCTTCTCCTCCTTCTCCTTCTCCCCTTCTCCTTCTCCCCTTCTCCTTCTTCGTCTTCTTAGTCTTCTTCTCTCCTTTCGGCGGGAGAGGAGGAACAGTGAATGGTTTTGCAACCGCGGTTAAAATGAGGCGCATGAAACAGTATAAATAGTGTTTATATGAGTATTATAGGGGTATGTTGTTTATAAGTGTAAGTGTATGTGTTTATAAGTAGATATGAGTTTATATGTTGCGTATGCAGTGTATGCGTTTGTGTCTATATATAAAGCAAGAGAAGTAGATGCGTCTCAAACATTTAAACTGTTAAGTTTAAATTGTACAGTGCAAACAAGGTAAATAGTATTCGGTGCTACACCAGAAAATGTAAACGATTAGAATAAGTAAGACAAAGTACATTTTGATTAGTTTTTTAAGTGTCTAGTTTGTAAGCTAGGCTGTAAGTCGCCATGTTTCCATAACATTTAAGATTAAATATGAAAAAGTTATTTCCTTACAAGTTCACAACAGGTTCCCATAAGATCGCCAGATATCCCCCAAATGTTTCTCTAGTGTTCACGGTTGTTCCTGCTCTTGTCAATTCGGAAATTCAAAAATTTAATTTAAATAGTTATTTTATTACAAAATAGTTTTATAAATGTTATGAAGACGTGCAGTGCACTACCTCCCCTGCCGGATGATGTTTTAGGCTGCAAAATAAAATATTGCTACGTCTCATACTTACCTTGGTGCTGAAATTTCCTAAAGAGAAACCGGTAAGAGAAATGCAAGTGAATAAGGCTAGCGGCTCGCAATGAATGATGAAGCTAAATTTTGCATTCATCATTTTTTATCGTTCGTAGATAAAAGTTTGTGATTAGTGAAGGTATTTTCCATTTTCAAGATATCTATATATAAAAAAAACAAATTTGTGAACTATGATATTTTGTAAACTATTTCATGATTTTATTCACACCAGCCGAGTTACATCAAGTAAAACTAAATAATACTGAAATTCAGAAAATATCCTGAAGAACTTAAACGGAAAATTTACAGAGAGATGGGAAGAATTGGATTAAGTTGAATGATTTCAAGAGAAAGTTTGAATATTTTGTGTCGTACATAATACTTAGATTTCTAAACCCTTGTGTTTTAAAATTAACAGTAAGAATTCATTTTTTTAATAAGCCTTGCCTAACTTCAAAAACTACTTGATGAAATTTTAAGTGCAACAGAGAAGCAGGTATATGAAATGTGTCAGATGATGCAAACTGGACAATTTTGGAAGCTATCTTGTGTTATCTGTTGTATAAAATTATTGAAATAAAATCATTTTGAATTTTTTGAAAACATGAGTAGTTTTTTCCTAATCTTTGCTTGATAAAAAGGCAATTAAATTTTCTTCTCAAAATAGGCTCCAACTTTTCCCTCAGATAGAGCAAAAGACACACAAAGATAAAATGCCACAGGTTTCATTAAATCCTCTGAATTTTAAAAAATTGCAAAAGTTAGAAATAACATGAGAAAGTTTGTGCTATGAAGGACCTCTAGTTATATGTAGTTGCTATTGACCAGTTGTGTGTGTATGTGTGTCTCTATGTATGGAGAGGATGGTTCTTCTGAAATTTTATTTAGAGAGGCTGATGGGACCTGGCCGTGTATAGTTTGCATTTATCCAGGCAACACTTTCATGATTCAAATAAAAGGTATCAGTCTGTGTACTGTCATGGTATGATTGTGATTCTTTCATGACTGCTTGTAGTCTCAGAATGAATGCTGAGAGTTTACTTATTTTGTATAATCCAATTACGAAATATTATTTTTCTACCTAAAAGTAAATAAATGTCTGAAAAGCTTTCTCTTTATTGGAAAAAATAATGTAATTTTTATATATTACTTTCATCAAACTATGTTTAAAATTCTGTTGCTTTTAGTAGGTGCTCTTCTCAGCTATTCCTTGACACCAAACTTTGTATTGAGTTTAAAGGTCAGTAGCCAACGTTGATTTAAAGCCTGAAGTTGTCAATTCTTGTTCTGAAATATTTTTTTCTTTTTGAAAGGTGTTCATTTTTGTCATATGTACTGATTTTCGAAGTACCAACCATTTGAACAATTGAGTCTATTTTAGGAGAATTTTCATGTAATATATCTGTGCTTAAGAATTTTATATAAATGCTAATGACATGCATTGTTTTGTTTTTGTTAGGAATGACCAATGAGAAAAATTGTGTGATGGTTTTTATTTTTCCTTTCATTGAATCAAATTCATGAACAGGGAAACAGAATTTATTTTTTATGTAGGGTCGATAATTCTACAGTATTCACCATAAATTTGAGTCAATGGCATTTGACTTATTTCTTAAAAAACAACAACAACATTTCCAATTTCAAAATTAAAAAGAAACATTTATTTATAATAATGACAATAATAAAAATGGAAATAAAAACTTTACACAATTGAAAACTGAAAAGAAAAACAAATAAAAATTCTTTGAATATGTCCATAGCTGTTTGTTCTTCAAAACATATACCTTCTTGCTTAAATTCACTAGATGTCAAACATTGTCTACATTCTGACACCTTCAAAATCTCTTCCACATTCTTACACATATATCTCTTGTCAGTATTCCAAGATGTCTAATATTCCTCCATATTCTAACACATATTTTATCTTCGTCCATCTTTCAAGGCTACAAACTTTTGCCTGTTCAGTATGACATCTACCTTTATTCTGGCTGTTGATTCTATATTTTGGTGCATGTTGTCCATCTCCATAGTATCCGTACTTGCCGACCTGTATTCCAGTCCCAAGTAGGCTGTGCATTTAAATGTTTTCTTGATGTCTGAGGTTGAATTGTTATAATTGATAATAATTTCTTTAGAGTGAATGCAGATTTTACGAGGTAGTGATTTTGGAAACCATTCAGACTAATGAAAAGAAAGGATTTTTATATAATTTATAGTTGTGTGTTTTTGTTTTTACCATTGGATAACAAAATAGGCTAATCTTTAATAAGTGGTTTTATGTTTATAATTTTATGGTTTCACAAGGCAATCACAGGCATCACATGCATAGAATGTTTGAATACCAGGTCTATATAATGCTGTCAGACCAATTAATAAAAAATGGATTTAGCCAGTTTTTAGTATATTGCTTAGGAGTGTTGAGGATGTGTACATTCACTAAATTAGGTGATGGTCTGTTGAAACAGAGGGTATTTTGTCATGAAATGACTATACATGTTAACATAGAGACAATCTTTTATTTACAAAAAACACACAAGTGACATACATACATTTTTTCGGAACCAACAAAACAATATTGTTAAATAATATTTTAATTAACAATATTGAGAAAAAGTGTGGTACAGATTTGAGCACAATTCCTGCCACAGTATGAAAAGTGATCTTAAAAGGCACAATTTCTTTCAGGTGTATTCAGCTTCAATCACAGATCTACAGTATTTACCTTACCTAAAGCATTTCTTGAGAAGCAGAAACGGGGTAATATATATAGTTTATTTAAAGAGAGTAAGAATTGGTGAATATAAATATGATTGTGAGGGAGAGGTCTTTTCCTTCAAGTGTAATCACATGATCGACTTTCAGTTAACACACACACTTTGACAACATTCCCCTGATGGATCAACATTCAAGCTGTAGAGTCTTTCAGACTGTCACTCAAAAACCTGGAATTTCTTCACTTTTTTAATCCCAAATTTTTCAGTGCCTTCAGATTGAGGTCACCATAATAATCCTCACTGCATCCATGAAAGAAAGAAAATAGCGTTAAAGATTATAAGATGAATGAATATTTTAGAAGGCAGGAAGAAGTTCTTGTAATTGACCTTGTGCAGCTGAACTTACTGCTGTTACTTAATATTACAAATTAAACATATTTTGTTGTACTTGAGAAACATTTTTTAGAAATATCACAAATTGTATTATGTTTATGAATTATGGTAGCATTCACTATTAAATTCACTATGAGTGCATGCTTCTTAATATGCTGATTTATCAATCAAGTGAACACATATTAAAACATTGCAGACAGGCATCACAGCAAAAGCAATACACCCGTGCAAACAGAAAACAACTACTGTACCTTTTAAAGATTTGTATGTAGTAGTTAAGTTGGCAAGGATTTAGATTTTCATCATTAAGTTTATTTTAAGATGGGATAAGGTACGTCAGGTAGGGTACAATGTTGCAAAATTGTGTATATTAAGGAAACATTGGCACTGCCAATCAAAGTGTGTTAAAAAAGACAGATGAATCTACAATTAATTTCATAGAAAAAAATTGAGATTGTAGTTTGTGATATGTCTTTCTGAGATGTAAGTTGTCTATGAATATCTAGTGTAGGAGAAGATTTGAATCAAAAATATACAGTAAAAAATGAAACAGACTATAAAGTCTGTATGACTTAGGACTTCAAGATCACATGTGAAAAATTCTTGTACTGATATTTCACTAGGATATATTAAGTTAGGTAACAGTTTATGTAGAAAATAGTTGAAGAAATAAAATTTGTTCACACACTACTTTAGGAAGAAATACAATGGTCATTTGAAGGAAGTAGAAAATGGTTTTGTATTGAAAGTAACTATGAACTAGAAGAGAGTGGGAGGTAATGCATTGTGTGTATCTATGCAGCATCATCAGCAGGTGCTGGCCTTGCGTTCGGGGGGGCGGCTCTACCAGGTCCCTGGGAAGGAGGACGAGGCTTGGAGGCCTTTGGTGCTGGGGAGGGGGCGTTGCGGTTTTGGTGGTTCAATCCAGCCAGCAGCTCGCTCTTGCGGATGCTCTTGATGTCCAGATCACCGTAGTAGTCCTCGCTGTGGAGAGGGAATGCAGGCAAGAGGAGGGGTAGAGAAAGGTTGGCATGGTGATAGAACAGGCAGAAGATGAGGCATAGACAAGGAGGTAGAGAAGAGAGAGAAGAAAAGAGACAAAAAATGGTTGTAATGAAAACATGCAATATACATGCTCATAGTTTATCATTAAGTATATTCAGAGACTGCAGCAAGTTTAAGGATTGCTATAATCCACTTAGTGTTTCATGCAATATGGCATTATGACACAATGCTTGATTAATGGAGTTACTCTTTTAGTATATTTATTTATTATGAAACATGAAATGCATTGTGAAATATATGAATACATCTTAAACTGCAATTATTTGCAGTTTTTGATGTATTTCCTGATTATTGTTAATAGTGCTTCATCTAACTAAACATCTTCACAAAATGTTGATGTAAGATAGGGAAACCGGCAATATTGTTCTGAAGACTTTTGTCAAATTTTATGGTTGTGCTGACAGTTTTTTAGGAGCTCATTAAAAAAAATCAAATATGTAATAAAAAGTTTTATACAGATTTTGGAATAATGAGTAACTGAATTAATTTAATTGCTGATTTTCTGAATATACCTAATATCATTATATCACAAACCAAGAATAAAGTACACTGCCTAGTCTACTTTTCCCATTTCGTTAATTACTTTGATAAGAAATAACTAGATTTTTAATTGATCAGTTTAATTTGAAACCCAGACTGTATATCAAGAAATTAAAGTATTATTTTAAGAGATTAATGTTAGAACTGAGAAGCTGAAACTCTCCCAGTAATAGTTTAAAGAAGAATATGGTACCAGTGCCAAAAAACAAAACAAAACAAACAAATATTTCTCTTAGAATAAGAAAGAGTTTAAAGAAGGCATTCCATTCCACATTTCATACCCTTGAAGAAGGTGACTAGGATCTTCAGATACTACAGAATTATTATTCACGGGTATCTGGAGTCTGAGTTGGTATGACTAATTTGTGGATAGGTTCAAGCACATTGAGAATAAAATGTAGCCAAAAAGATATGTCAAAGTTGGTAAAAGAATAAACTGTATATCAATCTTACCATCCAGGAACATCCTCAGGGTCTTCGCAGTTGCCAGTGCCATCAGCATCACCGATCTTGAAAACGGTGCCAATGGGGCAACCATACTCACGAGCCACACCCTCCATGCAGATGTAGTATTTGCGGCAGTCTTCAGGATGGGCGTGACGGGAGAAAGAGCCAGCATTCGTCAGTTCACCGGCAGCAGGGCAGTTGAAGCCATTAGCAACCTCTGTCATAACAAGAGTCATTTAATCAATTATTTTTGTGAATTATTGATTATTCGAGTTATAATTTATTTTCCAAGACTTTAATTTTTATTTACGGTTTAACTAATTTATCTGACCCCCCGATTTATACCAGGCGTTTAAAAGAAAAGTGCCCAATCGCCGGAGCCAGGTAGAAGCGGTCAAAGGAAGCAGTTTTTGTTAATAATCCCTGAGTCTAAGATGGAGGTGCTCTCCGCAAGCCTGTCTCAAAAACGAGTTTTTTCCCTAGCGAGATCTGCATACCAAAGCGCATTCGAGGCGTGTAGGTGACCTCTATTTCAAGCTGAAGAGGCAAGGTAGTTTACAAGGCCGAATATCATAACAGGAGACGTCAAAGAACGTCAAAGGAGAAGTTTTAGGAGAACGTTTTAGGAGAAGTGCGCAGAGGTGCTGCAGAACGAATAATAATGTGTTTATATAATAGTATTCTTAATAAGTATAATTTAATAATTTGTGAGGTATTGAATTGGTTAATGAAGTGTATTACTGCAAGAATTATTAACTTTTCTGCATCTATATGTTCTTGCCCTTCTATAATGTGATGCTTTGTGGCGATTCGTACATGTTAATGGAAGGGGAAAGACATTTTGGACATAGCCTTGCGCCGAGCACAGGGGACATATGCTTCGACTTTTCTGTAGTGACCGATGTCATTAGGTCATTGTTAAACCTTCTGCATTATAAAATGAATCTTTTTAAATAGTAAGCTTATTTCTTAGTCCACGAGCCCCGTTGAGAAGGACTTTTGCGAATTAATTAAAAGATTCTTTTTAAAAGGAAGCAGGTGTAATAATAACCTAATAATCATCGGCCAATTAGAGAAAAATCGAAGTACACAACCAGAGTTGATTGACGGATATTGCTTCCTTTGATTCCCTCCAACTGTCCTATTTATGAGCTTTTTTCTGAAACATTCTACGAGTATAAAAAGAAAATTTAAATATGTTCATCGGTCGTTAAGCTGAAATTATAGGCTGTTTAAGGTTGGAAAGAAAGCTTTACGTTCTTAATCAAACGAATGCATTTTTGAACACGGACATTTTAAAAAGAAAAAAAAAAGGTACGTTTTCCAAGGAGCGTACCTTCGACCTTGCACTCCGGAACCTGATCCGCCCACATGCAGACGCGAGCATCGCGGTCGTACGCGAGGCCGGGAGAGCACTGGTAGCGAGAAGCTTCGCCGTTCCAGCAGTTCCAGAAGACGTCGCACTTGGCCTCGTCGGCGAAGATACCGTACAGGCGCGGGCAGTGGGGAGCGCTGATAGCGGGCTCTGGAACATCGAAACACATTCGTTAGTCTCCTCGCCCCACGCCACCTGCCCAGAGATGCTTGGAGGCACTTAAAGTACGTTTAAAATTCAAAGATCTGAATATTCTCTTAAAAATTTAACGATAATTGTTAGTGGAATCTCAATTTTCTAGTTAATTTAATATAGAATTTATAAACAAATTCTTGATTAGTAATTGGAGCAAATCTCAATTTTATTTAATAATGAATCATTCAAAAATCGATTTGAATAACAATAACTGGCAAAATGAATTAGAAATAATTTCATCAAATATATTTTTGTTATACGAGTTTGGAACATTTATTTCAGTGTTTTGGGCGTGTTCGAAGGGATTGAGTATCATATGACTTACCAAGCTGAGATCGCTCTCCGCAGTCGACGTTGTGGATGTAGTCGCAGTTTTCTGTCAGGTACTTAGGGTCGGACGCGTCGAAGGCCAGGCCGTTGCCGCAAGTCTTCAGCTCGGCGACGCCGTTGTCGCACTTCCAGTACTTGTCGCACGAACGACTGTGGGGGTAGAATCCGTAGTCATCGGGGCACTTGAAGCTCTCCTGCGCGCTAGCTGGAACAAGAAAAGAGAGAGAGAAGGTTAGTCAAGGAGTCGAATAATACTGTGCAAACTACAATACAATTATCGTATTTTGGAAGAGGCGATCTCCTTTACAGTGCTGTGTTCAAGGAAGGTTTTATTCAGAACTAATATTCAGAATTCTTTAAATAACTCGAAGCATACCGTTCGAATCATACCGTTTTGAATGAAGATGCGTCAAATAGTAAGTATTGTTTTAAGACCCGATTTACACGCTCCTTCCTACGAACGAATCCGGAAATTTCAGCGATTGAGCGCACCCGCATCGGGTTTCAGGAATGTCTTAATTTTAGAGGACGTTTTCTGAATATAGCATTTTGACCGCCGGCGTCTTAATGGTCGACGTGCGGCGTACGAAATTGGCGGCGCGAAGTGGATTGTCCTACGTGCGGTGGCGACGGCCGCAGCAGCGCCGTAGCCTTGACGGGGCTATAAAGCACGCACGGCCGCGAGCGAGACAAGCAATGCGAAGGCATCTCGCAGCGTTGGGTACACACACGCCAACGTGGTAACGCGCGCTCCGGCTGTTCTTTCGTAGTCCGCGAATCTAAGAACCTAATTACTAACAATATAACGCAAATGTGCTATAAGAATATACTTCCTCTTCGTGCTTTTGTAGCTTGATGCCCGTCTGAAGTTTGGCAATAGTATCCAAGTGCCCTCGCCTTTGTAAGATTATGCTTCTCTTATTTCGATTTGACTAGTTCTTTCCTTGACCATCGTTTAAACTTTCTCGCCATTTGGCAAGCAAACCCATCTTTTTCAGAAACACTCTTGTTTCTATCAATATAAGACATTTGGCAGCATAGGGCGGTGTCATAAAATATACCACTCATAATTTAATCCAGTATAGAATTGAAAGCGTCATGAAATATAAAGAATGCCTGATTTGTACTATTTCTAGCTAAAAGTAATGGGCAATGTGTCCCTCTCGGCCATGACCAGTTAGTTTTGAAGAATAAATTTCCTAGTAAAACCTCTCGAGTTGCCTCGTGGGGAAACCTCGCGTATTTCTCCGAGCCCCTGGTCCGTTACCGGCTCTCCTTGCAAACAGCGCGCCTAGTGACAGGCGCACAAGGTTATCGCAGCGCCTGCGCAATGGCGGCGGCCGGCAACCCGTTGCGCAGCAGTGCCAAGCGGGAGGCGGCACGCGCCTCCAACAGTGGTCCGAATTCGGACAAACACGAGCAAAATGAGAGAAAATAGAAAGGAAAAAAAGGTAGACAAAAAACGGTACCCTTTCTTTAGAAAGGCGTAGTTCTTGTTGGAGTAAATAATAAGGAAATATTTTTACGAGAAGTACTAGTTGTTTAATAAATTATGAAATTGGGCAATTTTCTTCTGCAATCATTTTCGTGTTACGAAGGCCGGTTTCGAAGCGAATACAATAAAAAAGTGTATCAAAAATGGATGTTCAGTGAATCTGCGTGACATAATGTATTTTAAAACTGGATAAAACGTTTTGTGTTGTACTTCAGTTCGAGAGGAAAATTGAAATCTTGGAAAATGATATTATGCCACTTTTTTACGTAGAAATAAACTTTGATAGTAATCTCAAAACTAGAAGTAATGAAAATTAGCTATATTACTTTCATGTTGCTATTTAATTGTGCCCAAGAAAAATCTTTTTAAAATTAAAACGTGTTCTTTCAGTTCCGCTTCTGCACACTGTGCAACACCGCACCTCGCCGGTAGGCCTTGAGAAGCAACCCGTTGCGTCCCCCATCTTGCGGTAGGCGGCGGGCAGTTACAGTCACGTGGAACGAGAGTGAGGTTTTGTTACGATCTGCTCGGAGATTCCTTAATGCGATGTTATGTTGTTGGCCGGTACAGTAGTTTGTCGCTGGCTTTGGTTACGAGTCTGATTTCAACACCAAATTATCTTTCATAATTCCCAGCGTTCATTGTCTACAGCGTTTGTATTACCCAACAATTGTCTACTTCAATTAAATACAGTTTTTAATGTTTTACGGAAGATGAGATTGCACTAAGGTTACGCAGGTTTATATTAAACAATTACCAGCAATTGTGGATTTCCATTCCAAATCATGCATTGCATAATGCAATAAACTGCGTGATTATACGTAGTTACTACATGCTTATTTGTTGTTGTTCATGATTCAAAGTAAAAGTTTGAAGTGTGATTTTATTCTATCAAATTTGACTCAGTCACTGAATAAATATGTTTCGTCAAATAAGTTACGTAAAATTAATTTTCTCACTCTATTTTGTTCTACTTTCCGATAGCTTACGGACAACAGACTAAAAAAAATACACGTTCCTAGACATCAGTAGGAACTTCCTACCTCCGGCCTTCCTACCTTCCTACCTCCGGCGGATATATACTCTCTGCCTCCGGCAATTCAATTGAATAATCAACTACGTTTTTCTACGCGAAGAATAACGAGGAACGTGCGACGTTTTCCCACACTCAGAGAGAGTTACAATAATATAGCAAGTTTATCACGGCCATTAATTTTATTGCTATACTGTATTTTCAGCGGTGGCGACGGAAATGCCGCAAGGCCTGTTCATTCGGGATTTATGAAAGGATTAAAACGAGAGAGTTTGAGTCCGAATAACATTATTTAAATTTTGCTAGTAGGAATCGTTTCCATTGTTTGCATTGCTGATTAAATATTTTTTGTCTTTATGAAATAAAATAACGAGGAGCATATATTTAGAGAAGATGTAATATCTGGTTGTAACTAATGCCAAAAATCATACACATGTTGATTTGGTTTCAACGAGCTCGAAATTTGTTAAATGAAGACTGATTAAATTGACTCGAGGTAGAATATATCGTCGCAACACACGGCAAGTGGTGTATTCCTATAAACACTTTTCAAATGCAATATGGTGAACATCGCCTACTTTGACCAGTAAAAAAATATTTACTTCACAAGACAGACTATAAGAAAGTAAAATATTTCGTCTTTGGAAACAAAATAAACCGCTCCGCATTGATTAAAACAGCTTTCCTACAAAATGACAGATTTTGAAAGAAGTCATTTTATTCGTGCACAAACAATATTACGTACATGCTTTTCTGAATAACCCTTGAAAACCGCTCTTTAAAAAATTCGATTCAACCAAGGGATATTAATCACCGCATATTCCCGATATCTAGTTCACTGCAAATACGTGAGATGACCTTCGTCGTCTGCCTTAGGGAAAACGGGCGCTTCGCCGGGCGGTCGTGACATTGGCCGGCAGGTGGCGTCCGGCGCGTTGGCGGCGGGGCACGGCGTGGGCAGAGGGCACGGCCTCGGGGCCGCCCACGCCGTCGTTTTCACTTTCGATGGATCGCTCGCCCGCGCTGCCGATATGAGGCGCTGGCGTCGGGCGGAATGTGGGAAGTGAAAGTCCGCCCCGTAGAGCACAGCTCACATGTGCCCTGGCGTCGCTCGTCGCCACCGCCCAGGCCTCGGCACTTTCACGCTGGCTGCCGCCGCCGCCACGCCCTCCCGCCTGCGACGCGTCCGCGATGTGAGATTTGCTCCTCCAACACCTTCCTTCGCGCCCATGGAGCAATTTGCATCGCTTATCTCTTTAATGGATTATGACGTGTGAAATCTCCGGGGTGTTTGAGGGTGAACAATCTAAGATCTCGTTGTATTTAAGTGACAGTTATCTGGTTGTTCTTCTGGAGTAGAGAAAGCTTCTTATCTACTAGATATGTGCAGAAATTTATTCTAACAAATGATTCAAATAAAAAAGGCACATGACCCAGTATGAATTACAGGTAGAAATACAAATGAGTGTTTCACCATGATTTCTAATGTTATTAGTCGGTAATTATTTGTCATTACCTAATTTAAATGCTTTTAATACATACTTCATCAATTTATTCAACATTCAGATTAAAAACAACAACTTAAAATTACATTTAATGTAAACTGATGTTAAATAAACGTTAAAAACCTGTCTATAATGAATGAGAGCAAATAATAAATGAGAATTAAAAAGAAATAGTTTCTTCATTTTGAAATGAAAAAGAAATACAATTGAATATATAATAAAAAAACAACTAACTTACGAAATTATCATTTTAGTGCATACCTTGCACCTCTGGAATACGGCCAATGGAAGAGAGCCAGGTAATTTTCATGACGTTCGCCAGAGCCAATTATCGTCAGTAACTTAGATTTGTGATCACTGATCAACGTAGCAGGTTATCGCATGTTGTAAGAATCATTAACCTACAGCGCCCTAGTTTTCAACCCTCAACCATGATGAAATGTCATAATGGCGAGTAATTCGTAAAGTAGGTACGTCACTTCTAAAAAGCACAGGTTCACGCAGCACACCCGATGGCGTAAGTCTGACTACTGGGTAATTTTTTCCACAGATTTTCAAAATTACTTTCCGGAACGCATATACTATATTCTATCCCTTTTAATATACATTAATAACCCGTTAGACTGGGTAATTTTGTCGCATTTGTGTCTAAACACCTTATCTTTTTTACAGAATGGAAATGTGAGTATTCTTTGCATTGCTACAGTAGTACGTTAGGTAAGGATAGGAAAGAAATAAAATTGAAATATTCATATAACATGGTGAATAAGAGACTAGAAATACTCATGGAACAACACAATACGTTCATAATGAAAACATATTTGAAGAACAGCCGGAATCCTTGCATCGTTTAGTAGAGTGGATGGCATAGAGCGCCGGTGCGCCAGCTGAGGAGATGGGATCGCCGGCGCCGGCGGCTGCAGAGGGAGGGGGGAAGGCGGTGCGGTCACGGGGTAACGGGTGCTCAAGAGAAATATCAAAGGCGTTCACTCTCTCCTTTACGTAATTTATAACGGGCTCGCCTCTCTCAGAACTTTCTTCGTTTCGTCACCGACTCTCATTGATTTTAAACACTGGACAATCCGAGCCTTTCTTCTTAGACCGTGGCTTCTAAACGGAGAAACGAGAGGTGTCTCTTTTCATGTCGTGGTCGCTCGATTTTAAACACTTTCATCCCCTTGAAACTGTATTAGCTCTGCTTTCTTTCTCTTCTGGGCGCCAGGCAACCTTTACGAGGTGACATTCAATTTCTACACCTTTCCCAGCTTCAGTGATCTCTTTAAGAACCGAATTCGAAGCACTTTCTTTTTCCATATCAGTGAGCAGGTAAGATTGGTTCGTTAGCCTTTCAGGCGGAAGTCAACAACGACCGTAGAAAGGAGAAGTTATATAGCTTCAACACATATGTTACACGTACATTTTACAGCTTCTAATAACTCGTATGGCTTCAAAAAAACGTGAAGATGTTCCTGAATTACCTCAATATTTTTGTATTTGTTTCTAAAAGAGTTCTTTGAATAAGTGGAACAGGTTTTTAAATAAAGTCAAATAACTGACTCAAGAGAACGCAATAAATGCAGTCCATTAAATTTTACCAACGAGTTAGATTTCATAATAGGTTTCATTATTACACCATTCATTATTTCTTAATAATTCTACTGTCTTGTCGAAACAGTTAAACATAAACATAACGAGTATGAAATACTAATTTGAAGAGTCATAATACGACCAACGAATAAAAGACTGTTATGGTAGTTATAAACTATTTTCGGTTTTTGAAGTCGATTCTACGCAGATATTTGATGGTTCGAAGAGTTTCATCATACGGAAGCGAGAGAATGGATTGTACACTGTAGAAAGCAAACATGCTCTTGAGCATGATTGGAAAGCACCATTGAGAGAGCGAGTGAAGTCGTACTAAGCGCCTCGTTGCCCCTACTCAATGGTATTCGAGCACGACCATTCGGCGTACTTGGCTCAGCCCAAGCACGAAGACATTGAGCCGTACGAACCGACTTGCTTTTGCCTTTGAGAAATAGGTGTGACGCAACTCACGTTTTATGTCACTGACAAACGGGATAAACATTCCGAGTACGACACGTGGATTCACCGTAATACTCTTTGATGTCATTGCGCAGCGATGAAATTAACTTTTAATATTTGCAAAATTTTACTTCATATTTGGAATAAACTTTGAATTAGGTGGATATTTGTCAACGCAAAGATCTGTTGAGTATAATACGACGAAGACGGAACGTAGTTGAAGTTATACCTTTAATTTATAGGGCATGAATGCACTTTTTGTCTCTAAAACATACTTTATTTGTTAGATAATAATTTATTTCATTCACCTACCCACATCTTCCGCGTTGATCTATGCTTATACGGTCTCAAGTTTAGTCATGATGACCCATTAAAAATTCGGGTATATTTTTTCTAAACATTGTGAGAACGTCCATATTTTTTAACACGACATTTTAAAATGAGATGCATTCGGATTGAAAATTAACTCCGATAATATTTGCCTACATTTGGATATAAGTACGAGTAAAACGAATATTACAACTCTCGAGTTACGAAACGTGACTTATTCGTTGACATAATACTCTCTTCAGCGCCTGAGAAGACCTCTCCCGAGGCGGCGTCGCCGTCGGTCGAAGGGCCAGGGGCGGGGCGGGCGGCCGGGCGCGTTGGCGCGGAGGTCGCCACGACACTTGACCGTGTGAAAGTTAGCGGCGCGCGCCTGCTTGCGCAACGTGTCCCGCGGGTTACGGGGGAGGGGGGAGGAAGGGAGGGGACCTTTAGCCGAGATGATGCTGGCGTCGCCCCCGCCCGCTCGCCCCTCCGCCCGGGGCGCCGGTGAAAGTGCGTGGGCCATTGCATCTTCGGAGCATGGGCGGGGCCGCGCCGGGCCGCCCGCGCGCCGCCGCCGCAACTGCCACCGAAGTATGTAAATGCGGAGAACCAAGAGCAACCGCTTTCCCTGCCACCGCCGCTTTGAAGCGGCGGCCGTGAGGCGCGCTGCATGGTCGCTCCTCCGCCCCCGCCCCCTCGCGGCCGCTACCACGCCACGGCCGTGGAGGAGGACGTGGCGGTGGCAGTAGAGGTAGCGGCAGCGGCGGCGGCTGGCGTTGGCGTGGAGGTGGTGGTGATGGTGGCGGCAGCGGTTGTGGGAGGGGGGCAGGGGTTGCGAAGGCGGCGGCGGCGGCGGCGGAGGCGTTGCGCGCCGGGTGAAGGAACCCTAAGCGGGTCGCGGCGCCCGGACCCCGGCCTCGAGGCCGCGCGCCGCGCCGCTGTGTCGCCGCCATTAGTGGGGCGCGGGGCCCGGGGACTTGCGCGCGCGCGCGATGCAACTGGTTGGAAGGACAATGTCAGTTTCTATTAGGCCGGCATGCTGCACGCGAGCTATCAGAATAAAGGATAAGAAGGTTTTAAGATAGTTATCCATTTAGTTTCAGCTAGAGAAACAATACATTGGGCATGTATATCAGAATGAAAAACTCATCTAAATTTCGAAATAATTTTGTAAAATTACAAATAGCTGATAACTCCACTAATGTACAGAAATCCCTTCTTATTTCTCTTAATGCATTTTCTTATGGATAATTTTTCTTAAAAAAAGAGTTTGCAACATTTCATCGTTCTGGCAGAGCATTCTTTTGAAAAAACGTATTCCATGTTTTGTTTTTGTAGGTTGGACATAAGAAAATATAGTTTAAATTATAGTTTTAATGATTTAAAAAAATTCACGAATAAAACAAGAAGAGAAAGTTATTTTTGAAAAATGTTTGGATGAATTTTTTTCATCAAGTATTCCACACTTACTATTTACATGATATAAAATGTACGAACTCTCAAGATAAATAATTGTAAATTGTCTCCTCTCACCAATGTACTTCCTGAATTGAGAAAGGAATGGCAATCGGCGAAGCGAAGCCTCGCAAAAACGCACTCCGATAAACCGATATCGCTCACGATCTACCTCGAGCGATCGGTTGCGCCACCGAACCAATTAATCAGCACCCACTCGCGCACCGCTCCGCTTAGTATGCAACGGCGCTCGTGAGCCGCGTGACACGAAAGTAAAAGTCGGACGCGTGGCTCCGCGACGCATATTAATACCCGAAAACGTCTTTATGCCGAAATGCAACGCCGCTGCGCCGCTCCGCGCTGCGTGTCGACACCATCAACATCGAAGCGGCTTCGCTGCGCGCGCCTTTGCCTTATGACGCCACGGAGGCGGCGGCGACGGCTTAGAGGGCGGTGGCGATGGCGGTGTCAGCGGCGGCGGCGGCTGTGATGGTTGTAGTTGAGGTAGAAATTGTTCCGGAGGTGTCGGTGGAGGCAGTTCGTGGAGTAGGTGGCGGGAACGGCGGCAGCTGCAGTGCTGGAAGAAGTAGCAGTGCTGGTTTTGGTGAAGGCTGCGAGGGTGACGACGGGGAAGGCGGCGGTGTGGTGCTTCTCGGGATGAATTAGGGGGAGCGATGGCAGTGATGCTGGCGGCGGAGGTCGAAAATGCGGGTATGTTGCGGTCGGGGGTGGCGGAAGCGAGGCGGAGGAGGCGGAGGAGGTAGAGTCAGGCAGGAGGAGGCGGAGGTGGAGGTGAAGATGCAGGATGAAGTGGCAGAGGAGCAGACGGAGGAGGAAGAGGTCACGGCGCTGGAGGAGAAGATAGAGGAGGCTGAGGAGGAGGAGGAGGAGGAGGTGGCTGTTGGCTTCAACGTGGCGGTGCACGTAACCCCAAAGACTTCCCGTCACGGTCTTTGCGGATCGCGTTACATAAAAGGAGACGGGGTGCAGCCGGGAGCAAACGATCGCTCTGCTTGCCTCTCGATCGAGATGGACGATCGAACTCGGAGTCCAAGTCCGCAGTGCTCCAGAAGCGCCGCGCCCAGTATCCAGTTTCTCGAGCAGATGACGTAATGCAGAAGCACGTGACCCGATCACTAAACGCCGTGACGGACGGATTCTGAGAGAGGTGGCAGGAATGCCTTCGGAGAATGGAAGAGTTGGGAGAAGCACTCAGGCATTGAAGGGCGACCAGATTACGCAACGGCATTTACGATTGGACAAAGTTCTCTGAAGCTACAGACACGCAACGGAACAACGAAGTGCCTTTGTTTCTTTAAGAGTTAGAATCCATCAGCGGTTTTTTCCCTCATGAAATATTGAACTGATACATGCATTTTATTTGCTCTTTAAAATTGTTTATCAATAAGAGAAATGGAGTTTGAGGTGGTTAGCAAAGTCTGATACAACTATGAAATAAATATTAGGTAGAAAACAGAAAGACTCCAGAAATGTGGAAGTATTATTCACCACCAACATTTATATATCCTTTTAAACTTGGTTATGTTGAAGTATTGCGACTAGGAATATTTTGCGTCAATAACGAACGTAAAAGACAATCGCACAATAAGGACATCGTTATCACGCGACATGCTCTTTTCATCAATACGCTCCCAACCCAGATGGAGGAAAGGTGCCAGCGACCAGCGACAAAGTTGAGCTGTGGGTCAGCTCCAAACCAGAATGAGGCGCGATCGAAATAGAACCGGTCAGGGCAACCTGTTCCACGTCCTCGCGTCCTGCAGAAGACATTCGAGTCCGCGGCCTTTGCCCGAATGGGGTGCAGGTGTCGAAACCCTGGGCGGGGCGGGGCGGGGCGGGGCGGGGGTCGGCCGCCTTACGAAACGGCCTACCGCAACGCGGGCCCACTCGCTGCGTCTGCCCGAGATTTCGCCGCACTCACCGCCCGGCTCACCCAACGCCTTGCTCACCACGTCCTTAGAGACCCTCTTCACGGCGAGTTACTTTACTTAGTTATAAATCGTTGTATTACTCCAGATTTCGTCAACTAAGAGCCAGAATTGTTGTCTCTGCAGCGACTTTGCCGGGAGATGCCGTTGTTCGAGTCGCGCCGAAGGTCGAATTCAGCTGCTCTCTGGAGTAGACTTCTAGCGACGGATGATTTGATGGTTAGTTTTCCTTCGTTTCTTCAATCAATACCAGGCGAATGCCGGAACAGTTCTACCCTAACAAACGGGCCACGGATCCCGCGCTATCTTACCATTTCTTGCCCTCCCCCTCCCCTTACACACACGTTTACATTAACACTTACATGCACTGCACTATGACGGGACCTTATAGCTTGTCTCGGATGGGTTGATGTCAAGCTGGAGGTGGTACCTGGCGGAGGAAATCATCCGCGAACGGACATGTAAGTCGGGACTGAATCACACCATCGAGGGAGGGAGGAATAACACCACCTCATTCATAATACATTCACTACTCTAACGGGAATAACGACCATAATCATTAGCAACAATCAATTAAACATTTTGTTATGTTTTTGTTTCAAACTTTTATTCTTTCTGTTACTTCCATTGTCACAAAAAAACTTGAAACGTAGAAATAAGACTACTAACCAGAAAGATATTGCAATGACGCATTGGCTAACATGGTATGGGTTGCAGAAGTTACCAGTGTAATGTGGCTATTATTTTACGATGACATGAAGTTTTGAGTAATCTTTCCCACAATGAGGTATCTTCAAAGACTGGTATCCAAGAAAGTTTATTCTCTGGATACCAGTCTTCTCTTATAAACTGATTATTGGCACATATAGTAGGTATTCTATTTAAGCGATAGTTATTAAGCAGATATTCACAACCATAAATAGCCATAGTATCTTACATTTCACAAAACATACATCCTATAAACTTTTTTACGCTGCTACATAGCTTTGAACTGATTTTCGAAACACGTTTTATGTTTTTAATTTTTTCTGAGGAAGGATTTCCGGTTTAATTTCCTTTAATGAGATTCTTGGATATCATATATAAGTGTAAGATATGCGCAGGTAAAAGTTAGATGTAGATTTTGGTTTCATCCCGATAAATTCATTGATAAGACGATCACAATCATGATTTATTATCATAATTCTAATCATAATTTATTTATTAAGAATATTAATCATAGTTCAATTATTAATAATCTAACTTATTAATGTCCTAATACCACTTCGGTTTCACTTCTGTATTCTGGCAGTGAAATGCACATGAATGTCGCACCTACAAATTTTCTGTAATTTGCCTGCTTAAAACATCTTCCTTTAAGTATGAGGTGCTT